TAGTAGTTACCAAACTCCACTGTCCATCTCCACTCCAAACTAAGATTGTTAATTCGTGTCAAGCAGGAACTGTCTTATCTATTTATCTTAACAAGAGTACCTAGCTCAAAGTTAAACTCCTTAAAAACATACTGAATTGAGAAGCTGTTAGGACTTGTTCCCTTCTATCATGGGCTAAAAAATGGGTAGAGACTATGAGTAGTGACCTTGGAAAGGGGAAAGGACAACACAGTCTCTTGGAACCAAGGGATAAGGTAACAAGAGCTTTTCAGGGATGATTAGGATATTCCCTGGTATTAGCACTGGCAAGAAATCCCAGGTCACATACATAATCCCTACCACAGGGGCCAGGGGCTCTTTCCTTGCTTAATTTCTCACTCTCAGCTCCCACTTTACTATAATCCTCGTTCCAGCTCCTGAAGCCCCTGCCCGGGATGAGCGAGTAAGCCAGGTGAGTATGGAAAGAATGGAGAAGGCAATTCAGGGGCGTATTTTCTCCTTCAAGCTCTTGTCCCTTTTATGAGTCTGTCTCTTCTGGCTTGCCTCCTGTCACTCTGATTTTCCCAGTTTCACCAGGCTCTTCTATTATATTTCTAAACATTATTGTTCCCCAGGATTCTGTCCTAAACCCTCATCCCTGCTTCCTCTCTTTGTCACCAAATTTTCCTACTTCAAGGACTGTCAAATTTCTATGACTTCAAAAAATTAACAGAGTATCCTCTGGAAGTGAGCACCAGGCCTAAATGCCAGCTCTTTGCTGGGCATCTTTCTGTAGGTGTCTCACAGGCCTCTGACACTCAACAGGTCCAACATGGAAATGAATATTCTCCATACCTTTGGCTCTTCTGTCTGTATTCTCTCTCTCCATTAGCAGTATCATCACCCCATCAGTATCTAAGTGAAAGCATTGCCTTCTCTTGGTCTCTACCATCTCCTTCAATTTCTGTATCCAATGAGCCAGTAAATCCCATTTCTTTTATCCCTCCAGTTTTCTTCATGGTCTCGGTCCCTTGGCTAGAATGGCCCTTGTATCTGGTCTCCACCTCAGTCCATCCTCTTCCCCACTACCAGAGTTATTTTTCTAAAATTCGGGTTTGATTATGATGCTTTCCTACTGAATAACCTCTGTGAACTTCTCATTGCTGAGATAAAGTCTAGATCCCTTAGCATGGAAAGATAACTCTTATCTCAGTCTGGCCTCAGTTTATGTTTTCAGCTTCATCTCCTGCCAGTTCTCTATCTCATACCCACTAAGGTTTACCGTTGTATACTCCTTTATTGTTCTTCCTGCAGTGTCCTTTTTCACCCCACAAACCTGTCATCTTAAGGCTGCACCTAAATGCTACCTCTCCTTTAAAGCTTTCTTTACCTTTGCCCAGCCACACTAACCTACTCTGTTTACAAAGAATTTAGGGCATACGTATCTGTGACAACATGTGGTATCAAAGTATGTAAACTTACCTAAAAAATATTTGTTTATACCTCTGTTTCCCCTGCTAGAATGTGAGTTTCTTATAGGCAAGGATCTTACGTTCAGCAGCTGTCTCCCCAAAGCCTGGAACACAGTGTCTGTACATAATACTCAGTTTCATAACTCCATGAAAGACCTTTCAGAATGCAACCCTCTGTAGAAATATTTGTGCACCAAAGTTATATGGTAGGCTTAAAGAATGCTTATCTCAAAATGTCATTTTTTCTCAAATGACAGGCCAAGATGGTGACTTGTTTGTTTCCTTCCTTCTTTTTCCCTCCTTCCTTCCTTTCTTTCTCTTTCTCTTCCTTCTTTTTCTTTTTTCTTTTCTATCTCCCTCAAAGAATAATTGAAGTCAGTTTTTACTCCTCATACCTTTTTTTTTGCAATAATGAGAATTTCATTCCTAGTAATTTGAATTGTGAGTCAGATTTACTGAATATTATAGAAAAAAGAGGTCACAATGGAGGAATGGAAGAAATCTAAAGAGAATTCAGTGCTCAAGGCATAAGTGGTGTCACCATGGGAGAGATGAAGGAAGCTGGTGGAAGTAAAGCCCTGGATCTAAGCACTGTTCTGCTGTCCTTCTACAGTCTGTGTGGAGGGAGTTGAAACTGATGAGAAGGGAGGGGGGCAGACTGTTGGCAAGTCTTTCAAGGAAGTCTAAGAAAGGCACAGTTGGGTGTTTGAAACAGGCTGCTTGGCAGTGTGGATCAAGGTGGATGGTAGACATACCTAAAAAGAGTGCAACTCTGTAATAATAATAATTGGGAAATACTGGGCAAAATCTAAAATGTCCATTGGTAAGGGAAGAGCTAAATAAATTATGCTTCATCCATTCAATAGAGCAGCCATTTAAAAAATGGTGTAGATGAACTATAGACTTAAATAGTCACTGACATATATTGAGAAAATAAGGCAGGGTATAGAACAGTATATCGCACTTAAGTAAAAGTAATTATCTTTATTTTCTTATGTGTATATATGCACAAAGTGATACGTAGAATGATCACCCAAATGTTCATAGCTGTTATATCTGTATGGTGAGATTGGACTGAGTTTTACTTTCTGTGTGCTCTGTGTATTTGAATATTATACACTGAGCAGATAGTATTTGTAAGGTAAAATTGAGCTGAAATGACCAGGCGAGGACGCAATAAAGGAGCCAAAAGTTTAATAGGGTGCAATCCCGGGTGATGTTCGCTGGTCTGGTAGTCATAGGCCGGAAAAGTCACGCCCAGCAGGGCAGGCAGTGAGTTTATAAAGAAGTTAGGGGGATGGAGAGCAAAGGTCTACAGTGGCACAAGGATTGTGTGTCATTGGCCTTTACAGTAGACAAAGGACTAGAAAGTTACTACTCCTTTTCCAGGTGAGGGGGCAGCAGCCAGGGATTTTGGCACGTCATTAGGCCGGAATCTGTTGGTCTCTTTCCCTTACTAGGCCGGGGTTGGGGGCTTTGCTTCCCCCTTTCCTTATTTGGTGAGAGTTGAGCTCGTCTGATGTGCTCACCCCTCCCTTCGGTGTGTCCAGCCTTACATTCCAGCCTTTTGGTTATAATGGGCGCCGACTCGATCTGGCTTCTTCCAGCTGAGGAGGGGTGGCACAGGGCAGGGTTAAGGCTGGTGGGAGGCTGGAGGAGGCTTGGAGGGAAGGGGTTAGTACTGATGTACCAGCATAGTCTTGTGCACCTCTACCGTCCGACCTCTATCGGTGGCCGGAGGTTCCAGCAGATATGTTGTCCTTGTCTCTCAGGACAGACATAGCCAGCATGATTACCCAGGCTTCGCCCCATCCAGTACTGTTTTCTGGAAGATGAGAGACAGACCAAGGCTCATTTGTAGCAGGCAGCCTGGATGAAGGAATGGAAAAATGAGCATTGGGCAGGACAAGGGGGTATCTTTCCCTGGGGATTTGGTGGAGGGTCTCATACCCAGCAAATCTTGCTGACTCCTCCTGGACAGCTAGTTTGGAAATCTCTTAACATTATAGCGGCCCAGTACAATTGGTCTCCCTGCTGACAAGGTATTTTTTGAGAAAAGCATGTCTGGGGGACCAATTGGTGTAGTTGGAGCATACCCGATATGATGCATTTGTTACAGACCCAGTTTCCCAGAGCTGGATGAGTCATTGTGGCCAGCACCAGTGCAAGTAAGGTGCAAACAGAGGGGCCCTGTCTCTCTAGACCTCCACCTATCATGACTGGGTGCTCGTTTGAGCCTGGAGGTATGGTACCATGGGGAGTGTCCCAATAGCTTGGCAGCCATGGGAGTGGTAAGGATCACTGTGTATGGTCCCGTCCACCATGGGTGGAATGACTGAGGTTGGAGTTCTTTAAGAAGGACTTTGTCTCACAGCTGTAGAACCTATGTGATTCTTGGATCCGAGGAGGAGGTGGGCTGAGGTAGGAACTGCTCTGCGTGTTCCCTGAGGAGATGTCTTAGGAGTGAGAGTTAAGGTAGGTAGGAGGCTAGAGGGGGTGGAGTTGTAGGCAGGCCTGTGTTTAGAAGGAAGGGTCTACCATACATTAACTCAAAGGCACCTAGTCCGTTGGGTCCCCTAGGGGCTGCTTGCAATCAGGTGACAGCAATTGGGACTAGGTCTGGCCAGGAGGCCTTTACCTCTAAGGAGAGTTTGGTAAGTTGATCCTTGAGAAGGCCATTGGCCCTTTCTACCTTACCCAAGGATTGAGGGTGGTAGGGTATGTGTAGTTTCCAGGAGATATTTAGAGAGTCAGCCACCAGTTGTATGACCTTTGAGATAAAAGCTGGTTCGTTGTCTGACTGGAGCGTTGTCAGGAGGCCAAAATGAGGAATGATGTGTTCCACCAACTGATGCAGACTCTTGGCAGGTAGGAAAGGCCTCGATCCAACCTGAAAATGTATCAACCATGACCAGTAAATATCTGAGCTTTTTGTGTCTAGGCATGTGGGTAAAATCAATCTGCCAATCCTGTCCAGGTAGCGCTCCCCACAGCTGGTGGAGGGCCAAACAGCATTTGAGGGTGCCTTGAGAGGAAACATGGTGACAGGTGTTGCAAGCCATATGTACCTGGTTAATGGTCTTTCAGAGCCCAGGAGGGGTGAAGATAGGGGAGAGAAACCTGTACGTAGCCTCTGGACTAACATGGAGGAACTGGTGAACTGTAGATACTATTTCCCTGGCCTGGGCCTGGAGAAGGACTATCCATCTGGTCTGTTCTCCTTTTATGGTATCTCTCTGTTCTGTTTGCATGTCCTTGTTTTTCCTTCCTCCAGCCTAACATTCAGTGTTAGTCGGGAGTAGTAAAGAGGAAGTTTTGAGGTGATGTGTAGGGGAAAGTGATGTAAACTGGTATTTTGTACTGGTTGGATGGAAGAGTGGAGGTCAACATGAGAGCACAGCCTTATGAAAAAAGCACCCATTTATATCTCTTAAGATCTGGGCTCCAGTCTTAACTCTATTTCCTAATCAAGTTACTTTTCTGTTTCCTCTTTTTGACAAGGAATAATGGCATTTAGCCTTTTATTATACATTGCAGGTAATGGCAAAGAAGATCTGGGGAAATTGTCAAGGTAGAAGAAGAGCCAACACACACACGTATAATATACTTTTATACACGTGGATGTATATGTACGTAACCTCTTTGCAGATTACTGAAAGAACACATTAATCTTTCTCCTTTTTTTTTTTTTTTTTGGTCACTTATGATTTTGACAGTGGTGGTTCAATCTTGGGAAAAGCTACTGTAGAGGAAGCCAGATGATGTTATTGATTCCTATAACCCATCCTACTCCATCCCACAGTGCTGCACTAATTAAGAGAGAGATTTTCTGATTAGGAGAGTGTATTATCAGGAAGAGATTTGGCAATGGGAAAGGTCTACTTGTGCACTAGCTAGTTTTTAAATTGCAGACAGGTTGTCATGTACCACTTGCTCCCTTCCCTTTAAAGGTTGTAAATAAAGGCTAAATTCATGAAGGTTCCTGTCTCCTCTTCTTCCTCCTTTTCACCCATTTAGATTGAATATCAATTCGTTATGAATCTATGTGCCAGGATTTATCAACATCTGTGTGCATCTCTGCACCCTGGAACATGGGAAAAAGACATTTTTTAACTTCTTTAGAGGTGCATAAGTTTCTTTCTCATGACTCCAGCTCATTGCAGCTTTAGTCACAGTAAACCCTATATATAGTAGTTACCAAACTCCACTGTCCATCTCCACTCCAAACTAAGATTGTTAATTCGTGTCAAGCAGGAACTGTCTTATCTATTTATCTTAACAAGAGTACCTAGCTCAAAGTTAAACTCCTTAAAAACATACTGAATTGAGAAGCTGTTAGGACTTGTTCCCTTCTATCATGGGCTAAAAAATGGGTAGAGACTATGAGTAGTGACCTTGGAAAGGGGAAAGGACAACACAGTCTCTTGGAACCAAGGGATAAGGTAACAAGAGCTTTTCAGGGATGATTAGGATATTCCCTGGTATTAGCACTGGCAAGAAATCCCAGGTCACATACATAATCCCTACCACAGGGGCCAGGGGCTCTTTCCTTGCTTAATTTCTCACTCTCAGCTCCCACTTTACTATAATCCTCGTTCCAGCTCCTGAAGCCCCTGCCCGGGATGAGCGAGTAAGCCAGGTGAGTATGGAAAGAATGGAGAAGGCAATTCAGGGGCGTATTTTCTCCTTCAAGCTCTTGTCCCTTTTATGAGTCTGTCTCTTCTGGCTTGCCTCCTGTCACTCTGATTTTCCCAGTTTCACCAGGCTCTTCTATTATATTTCTAAACATTATTGTTCCCCAGGATTCTGTCCTAAACCCTCATCCCTGCTTCCTCTCTTTGTCACCAAATTTTCCTACTTCAAGGACTGTCAAATTTCTATGACTTCAAAAAATTAACAGAGTATCCTCTGGAAGTGAGCACCAGGCCTAAATGCCAGCTCTTTGCTGGGCATCTTTCTGTAGGTGTCTCACAGGCCTCTGACACTCAACAGGTCCAACATGGAAATGAATATTCTCCATACCTTTGGCTCTTCTGTCTGTATTCTCTCTCTCCATTAGCAGTATCATCACCCCATCAGTATCTAAGTGAAAGCATTGCCTTCTCTTGGTCTCTACCATCTCCTTCAATTTCTGTATCCAATGAGCCAGTAAATCCCATTTCTTTTATCCCTCCAGTTTTCTTCATGGTCTCGGTCCCTTGGCTAGAATGGCCCTTGTATCTGGTCTCCACCTCAGTCCATCCTCTTCCCCACTACCAGAGTTATTTTTCTAAAATTCGGGTTTGATTATGATGCTTTCCTACTGAATAACCTCTGTGAACTTCTCATTGCTGAGATAAAGTCTAGATCCCTTAGCATGGAAAGATAACTCTTATCTCAGTCTGGCCTCAGTTTATGTTTTCAGCTTCATCTCCTGCCAGTTCTCTATCTCATACCCACTAAGGTTTACCGTTGTATACTCCTTTATTGTTCTTCCTGCAGTGTCCTTTTTCACCCCACAAACCTGTCATCTTAAGGCTGCACCTAAATGCTACCTCTCCTTTAAAGCTTTCTTTACCTTTGCCCAGCCACACTAACCTACTCTGTTTACAAAGAATTTAGGGCATACGTATCTGTGACAACATGTGGTATCAAAGTATGTAAACTTACCTAAAAAATATTTGTTTATACCTCTGTTTCCCCTGCTAGAATGTGAGTTTCTTATAGGCAAGGATCTTACGTTCAGCAGCTGTCTCCCCAAAGCCTGGAACACAGTGTCTGTACATAATACTCAGTTTCATAACTCCATGAAAGACCTTTCAGAATGCAACCCTCTGTAGAAATATTTGTGCACCAAAGTTATATGGTAGGCTTAAAGAATGCTTATCTCAAAATGTCATTTTTTCTCAAATGACAGGCCAAGATGGTGACTTGTTTGTTTCCTTCCTTCTTTTTCCCTCCTTCCTTCCTTTCTTTCTCTTTCTCTTCCTTCTTTTTCTTTTTTCTTTTCTATCTCCCTCAAAGAATAATTGAAGTCAGTTTTTACTCCTCATACCTTTTTTTTTGCAATAATGAGAATTTCATTCCTAGTAATTTGAATTGTGAGTCAGATTTACTGAATATTATAGAAAAAAGAGGTCACAATGGAGGAATGGAAGAAATCTAAAGAGAATTCAGTGCTCAAGGCATAAGTGGTGTCACCATGGGAGAGATGAAGGAAGCTGGTGGAAGTAAAGCCCTGGATCTAAGCACTGTTCTGCTGTCCTTCTACAGTCTGTGTGGAGGGAGTTGAAACTGATGAGAAGGGAGGGGGGCAGACTGTTGGCAAGTCTTTCAAGGAAGTCTAAGAAAGGCACAGTTGGGTGTTTGAAACAGGCTGCTTGGCAGTGTGGATCAAGGTGGATGGTAGACATACCTAAAAAGAGTGCAACTCTGTAATAATAATAATTGGGAAATACTGGGCAAAATCTAAAATGTCCATTGGTAAGGGAAGAGCTAAATAAATTATGCTTCATCCATTCAATAGAGCAGCCATTTAAAAAATGGTGTAGATGAACTATAGACTTAAATAGTCACTGACATATATTGAGAAAATAAGGCAGGGTATAGAACAGTATATCGCACTTAAGTAAAAGTAATTATCTTTATTTTCTTATGTGTATATATGCACAAAGTGATACGTAGAATGATCACCCAAATGTTCATAGCTGTTATATCTGTATGGTGAGATTGGACTGAGTTTTACTTTCTGTGTGCTCTGTGTATTTGAATATTATACACTGAGCAGATAGTATTTGTAAGGTAAAATTGAGCTGAAATGACCAGGCGAGGACGCAATAAAGGAGCCAAAAGTTTAATAGGGTGCAATCCCGGGTGATGTTCGCTGGTCTGGTAGTCATAGGCCGGAAAAGTCACGCCCAGCAGGGCAGGCAGTGAGTTTATAAAGAAGTTAGGGGGATGGAGAGCAAAGGTCTACAGTGGCACAAGGATTGTGTGTCATTGGCCTTTACAGTAGACAAAGGACTAGAAAGTTACTACTCCTTTTCCAGGTGAGGGGGCAGCAGCCAGGGATTTTGGCACGTCATTAGGCCGGAATCTGTTGGTCTCTTTCCCTTACTAGGCCGGGGTTGGGGGCTTTGCTTCCCCCTTTCCTTATTTGGTGAGAGTTGAGCTCGTCTGATGTGCTCACCCCTCCCTTCGGTGTGTCCAGCCTTACATTCCAGCCTTTTGGTTATAATGGGCGCCGACTCGATCTGGCTTCTTCCAGCTGAGGAGGGGTGGCACAGGGCAGGGTTAAGGCTGGTGGGAGGCTGGAGGAGGCTTGGAGGGAAGGGGTTAGTACTGATGTACCAGCATAGTCTTGTGCACCTCTACCGTCCGACCTCTATCGGTGGCCGGAGGTTCCAGCAGATATGTTGTCCTTGTCTCTCAGGACAGACATAGCCAGCATGATTACCCAGGCTTCGCCCCATCCAGTACTGTTTTCTGGAAGATGAGAGACAGACCAAGGCTCATTTGTAGCAGGCAGCCTGGATGAAGGAATGGAAAAATGAGCATTGGGCAGGACAAGGGGGTATCTTTCCCTGGGGATTTGGTGGAGGGTCTCATACCCAGCAAATCTTGCTGACTCCTCCTGGACAGCTAGTTTGGAAATCTCTTAACATTATAGCGGCCCAGTACAATTGGTCTCCCTGCTGACAAGGTATTTTTTGAGAAAAGCATGTCTGGGGGACCAATTGGTGTAGTTGGAGCATACCCGATATGATGCATTTGTTACAGACCCAGTTTCCCAGAGCTGGATGAGTCATTGTGGCCAGCACCAGTGCAAGTAAGGTGCAAACAGAGGGGCCCTGTCTCTCTAGACCTCCACCTATCATGACTGGGTGCTCGTTTGAGCCTGGAGGTATGGTACCATGGGGAGTGTCCCAATAGCTTGGCAGCCATGGGAGTGGTAAGGATCACTGTGTATGGTCCCGTCCACCATGGGTGGAATGACTGAGGTTGGAGTTCTTTAAGAAGGACTTTGTCTCACAGCTGTAGAACCTATGTGATTCTTGGATCCGAGGAGGAGGTGGGCTGAGGTAGGAACTGCTCTGCGTGTTCCCTGAGGAGATGTCTTAGGAGTGAGAGTTAAGGTAGGTAGGAGGCTAGAGGGGGTGGAGTTGTAGGCAGGCCTGTGTTTAGAAGGAAGGGTCTACCATACATTAACTCAAAGGCACCTAGTCCGTTGGGTCCCCTAGGGGCTGCTTGCAATCAGGTGACAGCAATTGGGACTAGGTCTGGCCAGGAGGCCTTTACCTCTAAGGAGAGTTTGGTAAGTTGATCCTTGAGAAGGCCATTGGCCCTTTCTACCTTACCCAAGGATTGAGGGTGGTAGGGTATGTGTAGTTTCCAGGAGATATTTAGAGAGTCAGCCACCAGTTGTATGACCTTTGAGATAAAAGCTGGTTCGTTGTCTGACTGGAGCGTTGTCAGGAGGCCAAAATGAGGAATGATGTGTTCCACCAACTGATGCAGACTCTTGGCAGGTAGGAAAGGCCTCGGTCCAACCTGAAAATGTATCAACCATGACCAGTAAATATCTGAGCTTTTTGTGTCTAGGCATGTGGGTAAAATCAATCTGCCAATCCTGTCCAGGTAGCGCTCCCCA